TTATGAGCATGTAGAGTATGTAGTGTTGTTGAGTGCACCGAATGGAGCTTGTATGAAATCAGATTCGCAACGTGTTAATGACGCTGGTAGCAACATCTTCTTATAGAAATCGATCACTTTGATAACTCCCCATAAGAGGCTTACAATGATTGAACTGCTCGAATACATAAAAGGGTTTACACATAGTATTTTTAAGATTAGCTACATTCCACGACCTAGCCAGCGACCTGCCTTCAGCGTCCTTCAGAGAGTATGCTCCTCCTGCATGTACTTTTTCGACCAAGTACGGCCCTTCCCAATTGGGTTCTAACTTTCCCACATGCTTGAGCACATCTACTCTTTTCCACACCAGGTCTCCTACTTGAAATCGGCGGATCTTCACTTTTCGGTCATGTGCTGCCCTCATCCTTTGCTTGTATGCCTCAACCCTGGTCGAGGCTTGTTCTCTGAGTTCTTCGATAGTGTCTAGGGCGGTCAGCATGAGTTCTTCGTTTTGCTCTTGATCATAAGTGTTCGATCGTTGAGACTGCAGTTCTAATTCCACTGGTAGCAGCGCCTCCATCCCATATACCAGGCTAAAGGGCGTTTCGCCGGTGGTCGACCTTGGAGTGGTCCTATACGCCCAGAGCACAGATGTCATCTCGTCGACCCATGCTCCTGAAGCTTTTTCCAGCCTTGTTTTAAGTCCGTTTAGGATGATCCTGTAGGTCACCTCTACCTGTCCGTTGGCCTGTGGATGTGCGACAGAAGCGAAGTGCTGCTCGATACCCATTTCCTCGCACCACGCTCTTATCCGTTTACCATTGAATTGCGTTCCATTATCAGATATCAGGATTTTAGGGACTCCAAACCGGCAGCAAATGTTATTATACAGGAACTGGATCACTTTTTCTTCTGTAATTTTGGCCAACGGTTCAGCTTCCACCCATTTCGTGAAGTAGTCGACCGCCACGATCAAAAATTTTCGTTGCCCTGTTGCTTGTGGCATTGGTCCTACTAGGTCGATGCCCCACTGTGCAAACGGAATAGGTGCGCTCATTGTAGTCATTGTCTTCGCTTGTTGGTGTATGAGCGGGCCGTGCTTCTGGCACTGCATGCACCTCCTGGCCATTTCCTTAGCATCCGCTTTCATTGTCGGCCAGAAGTAGCCTGCTCTTAAGATCTTTGCAATCATGGCCCCGGCTTTGCTATGATCGCCACAGCATCCCTCATGCACTTCTCGTAGAACGTACCGACCCTCCTCTTTGGATACACATCTCAAATGCGGTCCTGCATATGATCGTTTGTAGAGAACCCCACCTTGCTCGAAAAACCTCCTCACTACCTTTGTGGTCCCTTCCCGTAACTCCTTCTGGATTGGGGCCCTCCAGTCTTCTACCTCCTCGATCTCCGCCACCTCGACTTCCATCGCGCTCCTCTCCATGTGAAGTAGAGTCACACTCCTACTCTTACAATCGACCAAGCTTTGCGCGATTTTAGACAGTAAATCAGCCTGACCATTCTCCCCTCGGGCTATTTGTATTAATTCGAATGTCCCAAATTCTTCCTTCAACTTTTTTATGTTGTCCACATGACGTTGCAGCCGATCTTATTTGATCTCGAAACCTTCTTGGAATTGACCGACCACCAACTGCGAGTCAGAATGGACCTGGATTCTCCGAGCACCTTCGGCCAGAGCCAATTGTAATCCCTTTGTCACCGATTCATATTCTGCCTCGTTGTTTGATACTCGAAACCCCATCTTGACGGTGAACTCTAAATAATCCCCTTTGGGCGAAATCAAGACTATTCCCAAGCCAGCCCCGCTCCTCGATACCGAACCATCTGCGAACAACTGCCACATTCCTCCACCATCTTCCTCCTCCTTTGTACCTTCCTGTATGAAATCGGCCAACACCTGCCCTTTGATCGCCCTTCTTGGTTCATATTTTATAGAGTACTCGCTCAGCTCGACCGCCCACTTTATTAGTCGACCAGACACTGCTGGTCGACCTAAAGTCTGCTCCAACGGCATGTTTGTGCGCACCTTGACTTTGTGGTTCAGGAAGTATGGCCTCAGCTTCCGAACTGTCACGACCACCATCAGTGCACATTTCTCAATTTCCGAGTACCTCAACTCTGCTCCTTGCATTACCCGACTGACATAATATATTGGGAATTGTGTCACTTCTTCTTCTCGTAATAATACTGGGCTTACAGCACTCTCGCCCACCGATATGTAGAGCACGAGCTCCTCTCCGTGAATTGGCTTGGCCAATAAGGGCAAGTTAGCCAGCGTCCTTTGCAACTCCTCGAAGGCTTTTTGGGCTTTCTCTGTCCACTGAAATTTCGAGCTCTTCTTCAGGGTTTTGAACAAAGGGCTGCTCTTTTCGGCCACCTTGGAAATGAATCTGCTTAGGCCCGCTATCCGACCAGTTAGTATTTGGACCTCCTTCACATTAGCCGGTGGCTTCATTTCGATCACCGCTTTTACTTTTTCAGGATTCACCTCTATCCCTTGCTTTGTCACCATGTACCCCAATAACTTTCCCGACTTTACCCCAAACGAGCACTTAGCCGGGTTGAGCTTCATGCCAAACCTCCTTAATGTCTGGAAGGTCTCCCTCAGGTCAGCCGCGTGGTCGTCCTCCTTCTTGCTTTTCACCAGCATGTCGTCGACATACACCTCCATATTCCTCCCCAACTGGTCTTTGAAAATTTGGTCGACGAGACGTTGGTAGGTGGCCCCGGCATTCTTTAGTCTGAATGGCATGAATACATAGCAATAAGTGCCCTTGCTTGTTATGAAACTCACCCTCTTCCAGTCTTCTTTTGCCAAGGGGATCTGGTGATATCCCTGAGAGGCGTCCATCAGGCTAAGCAACTCGCATCCTGCCGTGGAGTCCACCAGCTGGTCGATCCTTGGCAGCGGGTAAAGATCTTTCGGGCAAGCCTTGTTTAGATCACGGAAATCGATGAACATCCTCCACTTCCCTCCTAATTTGGACACCATGACTGTATTGGATAACCACTCGGGGAACTGAATCTTTTTAATGTGTCCAGCGTTCAACAGCTTGTCGACCTTCTGCTCGATGATTTTGTCCATCTCCGCACCATGATGCCTTCTCTTCTGCTTCACCGGTCTGACACTGAGATCAATGTTAAGTCTGTGCTCAATCACCCTGGCCTCGATCCCTGTCAGCTCGTCCGTTGTATACGCGAAGATGTCCGTAAATTCCCTT